CATATTGGGCGCAGCCTGAGTGGCCTACGAGTTCGGGAAATAATAGGCTAATTGAAATGCGGTTCGTAATAATGCGAATGAGACATGTGAATGCTACGTCTTACCCCGACAGCCCGAGACGGGCGTAGAGAGGGAAATCCGGTCTTGTGTGCTGACCATGGCGGCATGCGGAAGAGAGAAGCTGTTGACGTGGCTGACCCATCGCGTGGCAACGGTGTGAAGACGATGCGAGAGCGGCGGTGGAGAAATGGAGGGAAGAACGGATGGTGAGCTGGGAGAAAAAGGTGACGTGGATCGGTGCAACGAGACCTTGGCGGGCGAAGGAAGACGGCCTTGCTGCTTCCGTCGGATCCTCTCTTCGTTTCTGTCGTCTCTTTACGTGGCCTATTTTAACAGGCTGTCTCCTCCACGTAGAGCTCCGCAGTTAGCTAGCTGGACTTACTGACTGTGCTGGAGGCAATTGCGTCATGCGTCATGGCGAAAGGTCAAAGGTAACGAGGTGACGTGAGGGCTTATTATGATGTTTTTCGAAGGTGGGTCGAGGAGTACGGGAAACCCCAGACAGGTGAGAGATAGGTGGGTGAGCCGGCTTGAAATAATCGAGGCTGAGGTCGGGAGAAACATCTCTTGCAACAGAGGAGCGTCTGAGGGGAAAAGAAAAGGCCAACGCAGGATGAGAGGCAGAAGGACGGAGAATTGCGAAGCTGTGGAGAAGCTGAGACGTGCTGGCTGAGAAGCTGTGGCGAGCAGATGAGCGGATTGAACGCAGCTGGGAAGCGGCCGACGACTTGGGTGTGGATCCTTTTATGCTGAGCTTGATTGATGATTGGACACGCCAGGTGAGGTCCAGCGCTGAGGTCGGAGATGAGCATGACGCCGATAGACGAACGGAGGGGATGGAGTCTTCCAGGTTGAATTTTCGCTATTAGCTTCATCTGATAAGTAACTGTTCAGCAAGGTACAGCAGCTTGTTTTAAGTCAATATTTCTTTAATACTGATG